CTATCTATCTATGTATCTATCTATATCTCTCTCTCTCTCTCTCTCTCTCTCTCTCTCTCTCTCTCTCTCTCTCTCTCTCTCTCTCTCTCTCTCTCTCTCTCTCTCTCTCTCTCTCTCTCTCTCTCTCTCTCTCTCTCTCTCTCTCCTATCTATATAATATATATATATATATATATATTATATATATATGCTAAAATGTTACTTGCTCTATATTCTAACAATGAGAATAGATTATCAAAGGGAATTCAAATGCTGACTCAATTTGTTATTTTTTCTTTAGTTATGCATATCAGGTTTTTGAAAGTTGAAAAAAAATCACTAATGTCTGCCAATACAGTATTTAATTTCCTTAATTCAACTCCAGAAATGAATGGTAGTGACGACCGAGTATTATGGAAGGCTGAGAATTTTTATCGACCCCCTCCACAACTACCATTTGCAGTGATTGTGTTGAATGAATCCATTGATGCCTCAGATTTCCCGTTTGTGTATCATCTGTGGCAGAAAGGTAAGAAATTGTTCCGAGAAGATATTATTCTCATAACTTTATTTTTGTGTTACTTTTTCATGACAATAATTATGGAAACTCTTGTATGACTTTGAAAATTTGAGCTAATATTGCTGCCATTCTTTATTTTAGCTCATGTTCGCATGTGTGTGGATGGGGGTACCAACCTGTACCATTACCTAATAAGAAATGGTCCTCAGGTGACTAACGCTACCAGCTCAGATCCGCCAAAGTGTCGTCTACCAGACCTGATAGCGGGAGATTTTGATTCCATAGAGCCAGAGTTGCTGAAACTGTATCAAAATGAAAATGTTACTGTCATCCACACGCCTGACCAAGATGAGACAGATTTTACAAAGGCAGTCAGAGAGTTGGGGAAGTACGTTTTAGAAAGAAATTTGATGGTAAGTTTTTACCCCAGATATCATGGTCTTTATTTTTTAGATTTTTTTATTTTATTTTTTTATTTTTTATTTTTATATTTTTTTGAAAATTACAAAATTAAATGTACATGGTTTTCTTTGCTTTCTTTTTCTTGTCAAGTAAAATGTTAAATCACATATTAAGATTTAATGCTATTACTGTAAAAGATTAAATGATACTTTGCTTACAGTGTAACTGTTTCCAATACCATATTATTGGAAGAGACTGATAATTGTAAGATTCTTAAATAGACTGAATTGAATGGGCACTCGACATAACTTCAAAGACAACATTAGAAGTAGGTTTGATATGGTCTAGTATTCTTGAAAAGAAATGATTAAGTTATTTAAAGCTTTGTCATTGATTTTGTGGACTTGAATTTAGTTTGATGATCATATCAGAGACTGAAGTCCCAATCTTTGGATTCAGTTAAATTGTATAGATCTTTTTTGTGTAACATGCACTTGGCTTTTTTCATATATTAAAAATATGTTAAACACATGACTCATCATCATTAAAAAAAATATCTGTGTGATAAGAGCCTAGGCTAATTACAGAATAAGAATGTGGAGTGGATGTCTCGAGTGATATTATAAAAGTGAGTTTAAATTGAATTACCCATGATGGTTATGCACTGTGCCAGAGGAGCACTGCACTCTCACCATCCAGTCTAAAGGAGGGTGGTCTCTCCAAGTAAGCCTGTGTTGAGTTACCCTTCTGATCCTTAGCCTGCTTTTTTTCTGTACCCAAAAGATGTGTTGGTTGAGCTCTGAGTGTCCTTCATTTAAGGGTCTTTGTCACAGAGATTGCTGTAGAAAAGATAATCATTAGACATTTATATCATATGTCTATCAATCTTGCAAACTCTAGACCTGCTGTTTGGAGTGAAGATAGGTGAAAATAATTTCTTCATAAGGAAAGTCCCATGTTTTTTGTTGTAGACGTTGCCACTCGAGATTATTAAATTTTGCATTTTACATTTTGCTCAGATTTCAGTTTAGACTAAAGACATGAAAGCATGGACATGTATTGTACCACTTTATAGTAAAGAACATAAATCTTTGTTAGAATTCATGAACCAAAAGTTCTATAAGTTAGGAATATAGAATGGAGAACTAGAGGATACAACTAGATAGCTTTTTAAAAGAAAACATAAATTATTTTGAGAGGTATATCAATGGCAGCATCTGCTTTAAAAACACTTTGTATGAACCTTATTGTGTTATCTTGAAATTTTAGTAAGAGTATGGTGTGTATGAAGTGCAGGAAAAGTAGGAAGTATAAAATAGTATTAGAGAAGAAATAAAAGATTTTGTGATTTTTTTAAAAGTAAATTTCAGCAGTTATTCAAGATTTTATAAAGAGAAAAATATGAAATAACATTATATATGTACAAGAAGAACTGCAAAACATTCAGAATGTCAGCTTACATGGGACTGCTTGATATATTTCATTTAGATGAAGCATGTAATTATTTTTTTTCCTTTTTATTCACAGGTTGATCAAGTGTTGGTTATTGCAGGGGTGCATAGTGAGAGATTTGATCACATTATGGCGAATTTGGCTACA